AAACCCCTCGGCTCCTTCAGTCCCTTCTCCAACTCCTCCATTGGGGACACCACACTCAGTCCAATGGTTGACTGTGAGCATCCACCTCTACATTTGTCGGGCTCTGGCAGAGCCTCTCAAGAGACAGCCATATCAGGCTCCCATCAGCAAGCTCTTCCCAGTATCCACACTAGCTTCCGTGTTTGGTGACTGTATAAGGGATGGATCCGCAGGTGGGGCAGTCTCTGGATGGCCTTTTTTTCAGTCTCTGCTCCACACTTTGTCTCCATATTTCCTCCTGTGAGTATCTTGTTCCCCCTTTTAAGAAGCACTGAAGCACCCAAACTTTGGTTCCTGTTTAAGTATCCTGTCTGATAGTCTATGTCTTTTTATTAAGGAATTGAGTCCAATGATTTTAAGAGATATTAAGGAATAGTGATTGTTGCCTCCTGTTATTTTTGATGCTATCTTCTGTTTGGCTATCTTTCTTTGGGTTTGTGAAAGAAGATTACTTTCTTGCTTTTTCTAGGGTGTAGTTTCCCTCCTTGTATTGGTGTTTTCCATCTATTATCCTTTGTAGGGCTGGATTTGGAGAAAACTATTGTATAAATTTGATTTTGTCATGAAATATCTTGGCTTCTCCATCTATGATAATTGTGAATTTTGCTGGATATAGTAGCCTGTGCTGGCATTTGTATTCTCTTAGGGTCTGTTTGGCATCTGCCCAGTATCTTCTAGCTTTCATAGTCTCTGGTGAGAAGTCTGGAGTAATTCTGATGAGTCTGCCTTTATATGTTACTTGTTATTTTTCCCTTACTGATTTTAATATTCCTTCTTTGTTTTGTGCATTTTATGTCTTGACTATTATGTGACAGGAGGAAATTCTTTTCTGGTCCAATCTCTTTGGAGTTGTGTAGGCTTCTTGTATGTTTATGGGCATCTCTTTCTTTCGATTAGGGAAGTTTTCTTCTATAATTTTATTGAAGATGTTTACTGGCCCTTTAAGTTGGGAATCTTTGCTCTCACCTATACCTATTATCCTTAGGTTTGGTCTTCTCATTGTGTCCTGGATTTCCTGGATGTTTTAGGTTAGGAGCTTTCTGCTTCTTAGATTTTCTTTGACTGTTGTGCCAATGTTTTCTATGGTATCTTCTGCACCTGAGATTCTCTCTTCTATCTCTTGTATTCTGTTGGTGATGCTTGTGTCTGTGATCTGTTTCCTAAGATTTGTATCTTCAGGGTTGTCTCCCTTTGTGATTTTTTTATTGTTTATATTTCAAATTTTAGATCCTGAATGGTTTTGTTCAATTCCTTCACCTGTTTGATTGTGTTTTCCTATAATTCTTTGAGGGATTTTTGTGTTTTTTCTTTAAGGGCTTGTACCTGTTTAGCTGTGTTCTCCTGTATTTCTTTAAGGGAATTATTTTTGTCCTTCTTAAAGTCCTCTATCATCATCACGAGATGTGGTTTTAAATCAGAGTCTTGCTTTTCCAGTGTGTTGTGGTATCCAGGATTTGCTGTGGTGGAAGAACTGGGTTCTGATGATATCAAGTAGCCTTAGATTCTGTTGCTTATTCTCTTGCCCTTGCCTTTTGCCATCTAGCTATCTCTGGTGTCAGCTGGTTTTGCATCTCTGACTGTGGCTTGTCCCTCCTGCAAACCTGTGTGTCAGTACTCCTGGGAAACCAGTTTTCTCTGGGATGAAATTGGGTATGGAGCACTGTGGCACAGGGTCAGCTCTGGGGTGCCAACAGAAACCGGAAGGATCCTGTCCCTGACGGTTTCTTAGTTTCTATGTCCTGATGGCTCTGGGCAGGTCCCTCTTGGGTCAAGAATTTGAGCAGAAATGTTGGTCTCACTTGTGCTCACAGGCTTGTTTGCACTCCTGGGAGACCAGCTCTCTCCTGGATGTATTTGGGAATGGAGTGCTGTGGCACAGGATCAGCTGCAGGCACAGACAGAAACTGGAAGCTTCCAATAATTCTTTTCCCACTTACTCAAACAGCACCAAAGGGAGGCCAGCAATGGAGACTACCCATTGCTTTTCTGTATCTGCAAATATATAGCTTTATATATTTTTACTATGTTACTCAACCAAAAGGAATTTAATGTTGTTATCCTTCTGATGAATTACTAAATGCTCCTCTTTATGTGCCAAAACATTGCTGTAGTTAAAGCCAACCCCACAGGATATTCTTTGCTTGTGCCAGCTTCTTCTTAAGTGAGAGCTGCATGGCATTCTTTGCCTGCCTGACAACTCTCGAGTTTTGTGTCAGCTGATATTGCAGTTTGTCACCCGCTGGTTGTGATAAAACACTCTGACCAAAGCAGGTTAAAGGGGAAGACTTTATTTTAGCCCAGTTCAAGATTAGTCTATCACAATAGAGGAATCAGGCAGCAGGAACAGCTGGTCACAGATGGCAATGGATGTCTTTGCTTCTTAGCTAATGTGTCACTGATTATTAGCACAATCCGCTCACAGTCCAGGATCCCTTGCCCCAGCAATGGCCCTGGCCATTGTTAATATGGGCCTTCTACATCAATCAGTGAATCAATATATCTCCTCCACAGGCAGGCTAAGAGGCCTGTGTCACAAGTCTAGATTCTATCAAGCTGACAGCAGTAAGATTGTGTCAAGCTGACAGCAGTAAGATTGTGTCACAGCAGTAAGATTGTGTCTAGCGCTTAAAACTGTTTATTATACACATTATATAGTTTGGCTTCATATATTTATGCATTAAGATACTGTTTTCCATGCAGAATTTATATTTTATATTTAATATCTTTTTCTGACATTTTTGAGCTTAAATCTTTTATGATGTTGGTAGTGGTTTTCGTTTGTTTGCTTCATCTGTGGTTTGCCCTATTACTCATTTTTTATCTTTATGTGAAATTTTATTTTTATTATATGTTCATCGACTGTCTCTTTAGATGTATCGTCTTTCTTTTTGCTTTCTTTAAATGTTTTCCTCTGGGCTATTGAAAGTTGGCTCAGTTGGTAAAGGTGCCATCTGCCAAATCTGAGGACCTGAGTTTAATATCTGAGAGAGCTGATGCCAGTAAATTGTCCTCCAACCTACACATGCCAGCTGTGGCATGCCCGTGCACACACAAATGTCACACAGACTCACTTTAGAAAATTAAAGGCTTTCCCTTGAGTCCTTTGAGTTCTCTAACTATTTTAAATAGTACAATATCAAACCTTAATTTGTTACATGCTATCATAAGATAGTATTTTCCCACTTTGCCAAAAGTTCAGTGATTTTATAAAACTTTAATTCAGTCATAGACCATGAATGTTTACATCCTAGTTATTGTGTCTAGCTGTGCACATTAAAAACCCCATAAGCATTATTAACATTGAAGAGCAAATGTTTATTCACAGGTACCTGTGCATGCTCTGCTTTCTAGACCTCTTCTTTCCTTTCGGCTGTTTGTTTGCTTGTTGCTCAATCCATGAGACTATATTTTTGATGTTGAGAACATCCTTTGTGTTCTGTTTAGTACCACTGTACTAAATACACATTTCGTTTTACAAATCTCTGCAGACATTTTTGAAGATGTATGAGAATTGTGAGTATTCTGTATGTGTGTAGTGTCTTCAGAACTTCTGACACTGAAGTTACAGATGGTTGTGAGCTGGCCTAGGTGCTGGGAACTGAGCTCAGATCATCAACAAATGAACTCAAGGCCCCTGCAAGAGTGCAAGTGCTCTTAACTGCTGAGCCATCTCTCTGACTCCGGCTCATGTTTAGTTTTTAGCTTTATGAAGGAATGATTTGTTTTTAAGGTTTTCAACAATGCTTTCATAGGATATAAAATAGCCAATCATAGCCTCCCTGCCTCTTTGAGAAATAATTTTCCTCTCTCTCTCTTTCTCTAGTTTTCCACATCTCCTTTTCCCTCTTTTTTCTTGCCATTTACTTTACCAGAAAATGTTCATGCACCACACTGATATTTATTATTTTTGATAATTCCAACCTTAAGTACACAGCCTGATAGTCTCCCAGCCCTTTTTAGAAATTGTTCAGGTAAATTTATTCTTTTTTTCAGTTTCTTACTGTACTGCAAGAAAAATATATTTTTCTCTGGGACAGTTTGCATATAACACATACATGTTAGACTTCCTTTCACATGTTCCAACCTTCAAAACTCTGTGCTTTAATAGTAGTTAAGAACAGTATTAAAATCTAATTACAGATGCCTGGTATTTGACACCTAAGGGTTCAGCATAAGGTTTCATTTTAAACCATTTTGGTGGTGCTTAGAGAAACCGACTCTGATCCACTGATCATATTAAATTGTCAGTGTCAAGGCCATTGAATTCTCTACTTTATCATTACTATTGCTTATTTAATATTGCTTTTATATATTACCCACAAGTAGTCCTGAGCAAATTATCAATTTGCCATGATTACATTGATAATACAGCCTTATTTAAATGTGCATTATTCACATTAATTGACGTTATGTTTCTTGAACATAGAACAAAATCCATTTCTTCCTTAATTCGAATACAAATAAAAGTTGAGAAGGTCGTGCATTCTAAATATGAATTATGTTGAGTTGTCTCATTTTCAGTCAAATTGTCTCTAATGACTTAATTTTTATTGTTATTTCCCCTGCTGGGAATGGGAGGTTACTTGCTGGCTGCCAAATTATACAAGTAATAAATGAAAATAAATATTTCATAACCCTTTAAAAGTTATGTTCATCCTAAAACAAAATTTCTCCCTTCCTAGAATGTCTACCCTATCAAAGGAGCATTTGCAATTTGTAATTTGGAAAGAACGTTTCCCTCCCAGTTATGGAGAAAAACCAGATATACGCCTTCTACCCAGCATCAACTGCTGGACAGAATTCTCCAACAGAACTCTGTGATTTCCTTGTGCTTGCCTCTCTCTTCTGCTACTGCACATGCCCCACTTGCTTTTAGGAAAGTTCAGTTGCCATAAAAATAACATTAAAAGAGAGATTGCGGGACTAGAACGACTTACAAGTGAAATCCTTTCTCTTAACAGAGAGAAGGAGAAAAGGACCACCGGGTGCGTTTGGCAGTTGGAAACGGTATGAGCAGTGATGTGTGGAGACAATTTTTAGACAGATTTGGAAATATTAAAATGTGTGAATTTTATGGAGCTACCGAAGGAAACATATGCTTCATGAACCATACTGGGAAAGTTGGATCTGTTGGGAGAGCAAACTTCTTCTACAGTGTAAGTATAGCACTTTCTCTACAGATAGTATGTTGAGCTCCACACTCTTGTCTAGAGTGTATACATCTACATTGTGAAAAGTCTTATTATGCTTTTGAAGCTGAGAACATTCGCAAAGGCAATGGTGGCTGTGGGTGATCTGTGATGCTGTGGGTTCTGCAAACCCCAGCCCTCTGCCATGTGCTCCTTCTGTGGGATGGGGATGACTGCAAGGTGAGGATGACTGACTGCAGCGTGGGGATGACTGACTGCAGTGTGGGGATGACTGCAGCATGGAGACAACTTCAGCATGGGGATGACTGACTGCAGTGTGGGGATGACTGCAGCATGGAAACAACTTCAGCATGGGGATGACTGCAGTGTGGGGATGACTGAGGATAGGGATGACTACAGCAGGAAGATGACTGACTGCAGCATGGAGAAGACTGCAGCATGGGGATGACTGCAGTGTGGAGATGACTGACTGCAGTGTGGGGATGACTGACTGCAGTGTGGGGATGACTGTAGCATGGGGATGATTGCAGTGTGGGTATGATTGCAGTGTGAAGATGACTGCATTGTGGGGATGACTGACTGCAGTGTGGGGATGACTGTAGCATGGGGATAACTACAGCATGGGGATGTCTGCAGCATAGGGATGACTGCAGTGTGGGGATGACTGACTGCAGTGTGGGGATGACTGTAGCATGGGGATGACTACAGCATGGGGATGTCTGCAGCATAGGGATGACTGCAGTGTGGGGATGACTGACTTAAGCCAGGGGATGATTGCAGTATGGGGACGACTGCAGCATGGGGATGACTGACTTAAGCCAGGGGATGACTGCAGTATGGGGATGACTGCACATGGGGATGACTGAAGTGTGGGGATGACTTTGTTTTACTTTTGTTCAGTTTTCAAGTTTAATGTTTAATAGTAAAGCGTAAGTCCTGAATGAGTCTCTCCATTTCTCTTGAGTATTTCCCCTCCACTGCTCCTTATCTTTTTTTATCATTTATACCACATAAGTTATATCTCTCCGAGTACATAGCTGTAATAGCATTTTAAGAATGAAAGAACCAAAGCAAGCTCTGGAGAGCTGGATCAATGGGTAGGATGCACGACAGGTGGCCAGAGAACCCTAGCACTATGTCCTACAATAGCTCAGTTACCTAACTCCAGCTCTGTAGGATCTAATGCCCTCTGCTGGCTCCTTTGTTACCTGCACACCAGGACATTCATTCACAAACCCATGTGCACATAAATAAAGATAATACACATAAATAAAGATAATTTTAAGAATTTCAGTGATGTAAGATATTTGAATAATGCAACAAACTACTTAAACTAAGTGATATATGTGGAATCTATATCTATTAAATGTATAATACCCGTCTGTTTCATGCACTTGGGAAACATTTATGCCACACCACTTAGGAAATCAAAAACAGTTATATTCCTGTGGAGACCCTTTTGTGACTCCAAGTAATTGCAGAGTCTTCCAAGAAGAGCATGCTGAGATGCCTTGTGTGTGCATTGCTGGCCTGAATTCACTACAGCCTCCTCCTGGAAGACTGCTATCTTGTCAGTGATATATAACATCACAATTATCTCCATTTTTTTTTTTGGTAAAAATACTGATTTTCAATTCATTTTAGTTTACTTGTTTATAGCTTGAAAAACTTTTAAAAGTTGTACCTAACACCATACAAATCCTAGTCCCTTTCTCTTTTTTCAATCATTTCAGCTACCTGTTGTCTGCTTATAGTATAACTAATTTTTAAAAAATTCAATGGTCATTCGATAATTAAGCAAAGGGATTGTAAGTATGTCCCTTAAAACTTGAAAGCTTGCTGCTTTGAGAGGAATCAACTTCCAACTAGAGAGATAACGCTATGAGTGCGGGAGAAAGTGAGCAGCAGTGTGGGCTTCCTGTAACTGAATGGTTGACTACAGCTGCAGTCCCTGTCACCTATTGCATCATCTAAAGAGACAGCATCCCATTAACGTGACTGATGTAATAAAGTAGAAATCAGGAAACAATATTCCAAACAAACTCAAATCAAAGTTAGGAGCAGCCATTATCTTTTCTACGGTAATTTCACCTGGGAAAATAATTTGGAAAGGTTAAACACAAAAACTAGTAAAGACAAAAGCCTTGAAACAAAGGAAACTCCAGATATATACAGAAGGCAGATGGCGAGAAACAAGTCGCATAAAAATAGTAAGTCCTTCAAAACGGCCAAGACATGCTTTCAAAATGATGTTTGTCCATTAACTCAGAAAAGTATCACAATGGAAAGGTCTTTAAAAGATAAGAGCTCAAATGAGAGGGGTTTTCAAGGAAAACAAATCAGCAAAGGAATTAGAAACTAAACATGTTCAGCTCAAAGGGGGAAAATGAAGAAAAATGAACCCATAATAAAAATGAATCACACATTAAAGGTTTAAAAAACAAAGCAGACTGTAAATATCGTTAGGGAGAAAATGACTAGGATTAAGGAGTTGTGCCCAGTTCCAGCATGTGCTTAACTGTTCTTTCAGAAAAGAACTGATCATGGGGAAAAAATGATTCCTTTAACTATACTAGAGCACAATGCTGATAAAGATCTGAAACTCTTTTTCATTTTACACTTTTATTGGATATTTTATTTATTTACATTTCAAATGTTATTCCCTTTCTGGGTCTCCCACTCCCGGAAACCCCCTCTCCCATCCCCATTCCCCCTGCTTTAACCAAAGAACATACTATGTTCCAGTGAATGAAACTATGGTGCAGAAGAATAAACAGGAAATAATATACTAGTGAGATGAATGAACAAAGTGTAAAGAACCGGGTTATGCTAAGGCAGTGGTTGGGGGTGTGGGGAAGAACTAGGATGTACAAAGCATAGCTTGGTTGATGACAGGGCATAGTGCACGCATCTCTCAAATGCAAACAGAATGCCCATGGCCAGACAAAAAGAAACAGAAATATCTTCATCCTTTATCTAGGGATTTAGTAATGGTTAAATTGCTCTCCCAATATAAGAACAACAAAGGACTGCTCTAAAACTTTTACAAATAAACAGAGAATAAGATACATATGTATTGTAAGAATGCTGTACGTCTCTGAAATATGCATTGAATGAACATATTGACTCCATCTGAAGATTAAATAAAACTTAGATGAAGACACCTTCAGTTTAAAAAGTTAGATGGTCAGCATTAAATCTATTTATATACAAGAAATTAAACAGACCCACTTTTGCCTCTAAGTGGAATGGAAACAAAATCTGAAAATAAAAATTATGTCTATTACTAACATATATAGGAAATAGCAGAGAGGAGGTATAGGTGGCATTTCTCCCATAGTGGCAAATCTAAGGATATAATAAAATGTGGGATTGTCAAAAAGCCTATTTCTTAATAGTTTTTACAAGCTGTTTAATCATCTTAAGTGCAAGCTTCTCCTTGCCAAGAGCAAAGTTCACGAAATGCAAAGTTGGAGCACATTCATAAGACCACCTACATTTCTGACATCATGTGCACTTCAGGAGCCTCCAAGACCACCCTTAGGGTTGACACTTGACAAGGACTCAGCTCACTGGTGGCTGTTACACTCAAGGTGACAGCTAAAGGACAGGCTAAATGCAGCCAAGGGAACAGCTCCCAGGCAGAATCCAGGAGACTATCAAGGGCAAGGCCATGTGTCTTCTCTACAATCAGCACAGCTCTACTGTCCACGACTGACCTCCATTTCCTCCTGTTCAGAATGCAGATGATGTAGCTCAGCTACACCACTGTGGGTGTGGAGTAGCGATCTCATTGTAAAATCTCCTTGTTGTTATGTAGTTGGCCTCAGCATCGCAGGCAAATGAGTGCATTCCTAAATAGAACAGCATAGCAAGGTCTTAGAAACAGCCAGTAAAACATTGAGGATGAAGGCCAGGCATCATTTTCAAGGCAAAATTCTCAGACACAGAGACAGATAGCCCAGCTTCAGTGTCAGCTCTGCTGCTATTGGACTCCACTACCTGAGTGAGTTGCTTTAATTCGGGTTAAATTTTCCACGTGTGTTAACCAAGAAAATGACTTTTGGGTTCCTTAGCAATATAGATATTTATGTATCTGAATATAGAAGGGCATGTAGGTGCAGCTGGAGAGATGGCTCAGTGGTTAAGGGTGCTGGCTGGTCTCCCAGAGGACCTGGGTTCAATACCCAGCATCCTCATAGTGACTCACAAGTATCTTTAGTCCAGCTTCAAAGGATCTGATGCCACTTCTGGCCTTTGTGAGCACTGCATGGACATGACACACAGACACATATGCAGGTGAAACACCCCCAAACAAACAAACAAACAAACAAAAAAGAAAGGCATTTAAGTAGAGAGAGGACTCCTGGAGCTATTGTACAGCTGTGTAATTGGACAGAACAGTTCAGAGGAAAACATTACCAATATTGTTGTGAACAAGACTTCATACAACTACGCTCTGGATACATGCACCGAGACACATGCATATGATTTAATTTGGATTTTAAAGTGTGCTGATTATTTTTATTTGTGATATTATAGCACAGCCATCACTGCAATTTCATGGTAACTTCTTAAAGATAGAAAGGAGGACATGCCTCTAGTTAATCACTTATGCTTTCATCCAGACTACTTTTTTAGAGATATTATAATGTATCTAACACCACGTGGAGTGAAAAAAATGACCTCTGTCATCAAGTCTTATTTTTCTGATAGCAGACTCACTGACAGTAATTCATTATGAAATGACTCTCACCTGTGTACATTGTTGCCAAATTAATTGAAAATAAATACCACCAAAACAGATAACTGAAGTTGCTGAGAAAGTGTTTCAAAGTATAAAATAAGAGAGAAAAGGGGATGAAAGAAAAGGTTCTCTTTCTTCCCTGTTGGAACAAGATGGTAAAGACTGGACTGCATGTCTGGAATCTTTCCACCAGCCATTAGACAAGTATAGCAATAACATGTTATCAAAGCAGCAAATATCAGCATGGTATAAACATACATTTTAATAAAGAACGTTTATGTAATGAGGAATAGTATGTTCTTTGCAGCCACTTTGATGATCCCTTGCTTTCAAATGAGATGACATTAGTCACTCCTATAGCATTCCAGTGCTTAAAGAGAACTTTTAAGATCTTAGCACATTGGCTTACACTAAGTGCTCAGTTGACATTAGATGCTGTCATTTAAACTGAATTAAAATGATGAATTATGGAATGGTGAGAAAACTTGTTGGATTAAAGTGTTCTCTGGGATGTCCACATGGATGAGGGAGAGAATCAACTCCCAAAAGTTGTTCTCTTACCTAAACATACACACACATGCATGCACACACACACTCGCTTGGGCACACACATACATGTGCACACACACACACACACTCACACAATGCACACATGATGGCATACATATGCCCATACAGACACACAAACACACATCCACACTCACAGTAAATAACTAAATATAAAACTAAATATAAAAACTATAAAACCTTCAGATGTTGAATTGTGGCTATGAGTACATGCTGTTTTTATTAAGGCTAAAACACCAGATATAGTTCTATTTATACTTTGATATAAATATACTTACCTTAGTGATTCTATTTTTTTAATTTACTTATTCTCCTTGGGCACTTTTTAAAATTCTTATTGTATAGTTGTTTTTTATCTTTGCCCCCTCTTCTTCCTCATTTACCAGCCCATGTTATTTTATCTCACTCTAATTCATCGCTTACATATTAAATCTAATTTCTAATTCTATTTAATAAGGCTGCAGATTTAAATGGCCAAAAAAACCCCTCACTTTTCTTATAGATAAAATGAGGGAGTTGGACTAACCAATTTTTAGTTCTCGCTCAGATCAGAGTTGATGGAATGATGTACCGGTGTACACCGTATCAGCATGATACTGTGATGTGGCTACCCCAGGGCAAGGCACCTGGGACACAGGGATGAACATCTAGCAGGACCCTATGAAGATGAGGACATCCAGCTAGCCTGGCTTCTGAACTGAGAGGGAGATTCTGTCCAGATCATCTTTGCCACAGTGATAGACAGACTATTACATGTTAGTTTAAAGGAGTTAACTTGACAGGCCTAGAGCAAAGCCAAACAGTTCAAGTTACTCTAGTTTTTAGGCAGTTGGTCTTATTTCTGGAGGCCTAGAGGAAATCAACAGTAACAAATATCCTGATATTCATACTTCATGTCTTAGTTCTGTTTAAAACTTCTCTCCAGGAAAAAAGTTTTCAAAGACTATGAAATGGGTCCTCCTCCCCATGGTTAGAATAATGAATGAATCAGAGCCGGGTACCTTCTGTAACTCACTCTCACTCCTTTGAGGGTAAAGCCTAGCAGGGTTAAGGTGAAGCAAAGCTAGAGGATATGAAAATGAATGCCAGTTAGGAGAGCCTGCTTATGAATGCCTCCTACTTCAAATTTCAAACCTTTGTTTATTTTTTTTGTCAGTAAAAAGATTCCTTGTTTAAATTGAACATAGATCTGTTAGCCAATCCTGTTCTTGCACGGATAGCCAAATGCTCACTTTTATTCTTCACTTTGGGTTTGCAGCTGTTTTTCTCCTTTGAGTTGATAAAGTATGACTTTCAGAAAGATGAACCACTGAGGAACGGACAGGGCTGGTGCTGCTGTGTGAGAAAAGGTAAGATGGGTTACGAAGTCGTCGTCTTAAGCGAAGAACAGGAATCCACAGGTGCTGAGTTCAGGAAAGAATGACTGTTCAGAATGTGGCTTACCTTGAAGCGTAGTGCAGGTGGACTGGCTTAGCTGTTGGACTTTGAGCCTTAATTAGGTTGTAAAATAGTTAAGCGGCATCTCTTTGGCTTTTATTTCTCCTTATTCACATCACATATCACCAATAATACTAAATTAATATTTTGTCCTAGATACAATGAGCAGTCAGACCACCTTTGCTTTACGTTTTGGTTTGACACGTAGGAACCAGCTGCAGCCAGACTGGCTGATCTAAGACTCATTTTCTTCCTCTGTAAATCAGTGGTGACATTATTTATTTCATGAGGCTCCTGTTGACAACTAAGGGATGTGTACAAACCCTTATGGCTTCTTCCTTCCTCTCTTCTCCCTTCTATTTCTCTGAAGGTAGACTGTCTAAAAATTTCAATTTAAAAATTCCGATGAAGACAAAGTTACCTGCAGATCATCATGGAAAACAGAACATATAGAGCTATGCACTTAGAAATGAATAGATACTATCTATGTAAATGTAGCCCACATTCCAGAATGAGGCAATACCTCATACTGCCTCAAACTTCACTAGACATGACTTCCTGGATCTTTGCTTCAATGTGATAATACGAGTTGTAAACCTGCTTTTCTTTTATTCTTGTTATATTTGTCTGACTGCTACTGGAAAGATTATAAAAGAAAGTATTAATAGTCTCCCAAGCTTCAGAATATTCAATGTTGCTCCATGTCTGGGAAGATGACACAGAGGTATTGCTCTTGCAGAGGACCAGAGTTCACTTCCCAGTACCTGTGTCACAGGTGCTCACAACAGCTTGTAACTCCAGCTCCAGGAGATTTGAACCTTTGGTCTGTGAGGGCACCTGTGCACAACTGCACTGGTGTGTACAGACACACACACACACACACACACGCTCACAAAAATAACAAGATTAACATTTTCAAAAGTTTCTTAATTCAACCTCATAGACACTATCCAAGAGAAAAAAAGGATGAAGGCTGGAGAGATGACTCAGAGGTTAAGAGCGCTGGCTGCTTTTCCAGACCTGGGTTCGATTCCCAACAACCGCATGGAAGCTAATAACTGTCTGTAGCTACAGCTCGAGGAGATTCAGCATACATGCATACATGCAGGAGTATCCTGCTACACAAAACACCAGTGCACATAAAATACAAATAAACAATAAGTTGTTTAATAAAAATAGGAAAAGTAAACCTTTGGAGGATTTAGAGAACTGGAAGTCTTTCTTAGCCTGTTGTTTAGAATCATCATGAGATCTGAAACCAGAACTTACATCTTGGGATGGTGCTTATGTAATTTCAGCAATTCTAAAAATGCTGACTGAGCCCACTCCAGAGTGCTTGTGATAAGCTCTTGCACTTTGTTTTGTGTTATAGCATTGTCCCTTCATTCTCTCAATTACGCCTCATCGGGAAAGACATGAACACACACCACAACTTGTAAAATATTTACAATAATTTGTCAGAGGAATAGCTAGTACCTACACCCTGAGAAGTAAAAACAAGCAGTATAGTTTGTGAGAAAGAAAGGAGTCTTTAAAAACTCTGCACTATTAAATGCAGCCTGACAAACTTCACAGAGTGTGTGAGCCTTTGAGGGCATGTGGACCTTGTTCTGAATCGTGTACTCCGACTTCTCCGTGTGATGGCGGCGTAACATTGGGCGGATTACTTGGTCTGCCTCCCTTTCTGGACTGGTAAGATGGAGTTCTCATGGAGATCTTTCTTAGAGGCTTTTGCTGACAAAGAGGATGCAGATGCAGGGCTCTCAGGATAGGGATGCTAGGGTGATGTGTGCAGCAGTGGCGGCGCTAGTGAGCATGAAAATGATGACAAAGAGAAGCAGTGGAGCTCTGCTGGAGCAGAGCATGTGTCCTCATCCAGAGGGAGGTAAGGGGACACAAGTGACTGTACAGTGGCTGAGGGGCAGGAGTAGTCAAGAGCCCTGTGACTACTTCATCCATCGCCTCAGCAAATCCAGAAGGATGCACACACGGATCTTTAAGCCTGCTACTGTGATCTCCGCTTTCCTTTACCTTACGTGTAACCTTGCCTTGCCGATAGCCAAGCACAACCTCGACTAAATAGACCTGACTAGAATAACGATTTCAGATAAACGTCTAATCATGTGGGTGTTGTCATGAGGTGAGCTCTTTCTAATGCCCTCCCCTCCCCTGTCAAGAAATTACAGAATAAACCATTAACTGGTTCAGCCTACTTCATGGACTCTGCTCCAAAGGCTTCATTTTGAGTTCTGTACCTATTTCTTTTTTTCTGATTTCAACTGTTGATTTCATCCTTCTGGGCATTAGTTCTCTTAATAAAATTAGAATTGTAATGACAAAGTTTCAAACAATTGCTTCTCAAGATAAGTACAGTTATAATGGCAGAGCAGGTCTGGTCACTCATATGTAGAGTTATTACCAGCTTATTAAAATTATCGAGTTATTTGCTCTCAGTATTACCTGAGTTAAAATCTGTGCAATTCCAAGAGATGTTACCCTTCGTCTGTCAACCCAGGGTACAAGAGAAATTAAATTCACATTTCATTTCCGTGTGATTCCTTCGCTGTTCATTTTTGCAAGGTTGTTTGTGAAAGGAAACACTGGATGCAGACACCGAGAGGAGATGTCATTGAGTAGAATGGAAACAAATATAAAGGAAAATAGGAAGCCACAAGGCTGAGGGTTTTTTTGGCTATAACTTAGGTGTGTGTGTGGTGTCTGCACTGATCATTGTTGGAGCACATGGCTCCTAAAGCAGCCCTTTCTCTTGCAGGAGAACCTGGTCTCCTCATTTCTCGAGTCAATAAGAAGAATCCCTTCTTTGGCTATGCTGGTTCATACAGGCACACAAAAAGCAAGCTTCTTTTTGATGTGTTTAAGAAGGGAGATGTTTACTTCAACACAGGAGACCTAATGTTCCAAGATCATGAGAACTTCCTTTATTTTTGGGACCGTATTGGAGACACTTTCAGGTAGGAATGGCATCACTGGATGGATGCTCAGCTGGCCCTCTGCCTGTAAATCCCTCTTCTGTGGAAAGTGGAAACTTTCAGGACACTCAGGGTCCTTTCAGCTCCACGATGATTCCCCGCACAAAGATGGGCTCACCATCTGTTTCTAAATGTACTATAGGTTTAGTTCTGGTGTCAAACTCCATAGTTGCTCTTTAAAAAATGAACTAACCTATACCTAATCGGTAAACTTTACATTTAGGATATAAAAGTAGAAGCAGCACCTGAAACTAGAGTTAGGGTTCTACAGAAGAGCCACAGGGTCTAAAGTCATTTCTTTTGTTTTGTTTTATTTTATTTTGTAGTTATTATTCTTTCTTTTTTCTTCATCAATTAAGTTATTTATTCACTCCTCTCCTCCCAGTCCCTCCTTTACATGACCCCTCCTTATAAGCTCCCCTCCCCTTCTCCTCAGCTCTCCCTTCACCTGATACCCAGCTTACCCTTCCCATCACCTCTGCCATCCAGTTCCCTCTCTCCATCATTTCTGAAGACAGTTTCATTTCTCCTTCTGAGTGGGATTTAAGCATCATCCTCCCTTGTGCCCTCCTAGTTGTTTAGCTTCTTTGAGTCTGTAGCATGGGTATCCTGTACTTTATGATTCATATCCACTTATAAGCGAGTACATGCCATGCATGTCTTTTTGGGTATGGCTTACCTCACTCAGGATGATATTTTCTAGTCCCATAAATTTGACTACAAATTTCACAATGTTCTTGATTTTAATAGCTGATTAGTATTCCATTGTGTAAATGAATCACATTTTTTTCTTTCTTCCTTATCTCTTATTTCTCTGTTGGAGGTGGAGAAGGGGGTGGAAATGCCACATCATGCATGTGACTTTTGGGAGTTGATTCTTTCCTTCTAACTATGTCTGTTTCAGGGATTAAACTCTGATTCTGTGGCAAGTGCCTCGCTACTCACCAACATTTCTCACCAGTCCTGAGATGATTCTTGATGTAATGACAAAATACTGAGACTGAGACCGTACACTTCCGTTTCTTTTAACATTTTATTTTCTAATTTCTCAAGTTTGTCTTAGCCTACACAGAATTTTACTTTGTTATTCAATGGCTATAAAATAGTCAGGAGCATAGAGTAAGCATTTAGCAAGGGCTTGAATGAATAGACAAATAGGGAATAAATAAGAAGTATATTAAATTTTCATCATATAGAATTCTCTTCATTAAAATAGCAGACGTGGAGGCGTTAATGCCCAGATAGTAAAGTGGGTTAATATGCTGATGTGATTATAGTATTTCCTTTAATTCCTACCTCCGAGGATAAAGTTTTAAACTTAATTTTTATTATTGCACACAGTAGTGATTTTGTGCTGATAAATTCCTCTTCTCATCAATTCGTTTCACAGCTCTCTTAAAAATATTTTACAGTGAACAATTTATACCCATAAAACTCTTAAGTTATTTTAACCAAACCACAGCTGCCGACTTTATTGAACTTCTGAACGAAAAGCGTTTGTAGACGTGGCTTTTGCTTGAAGACTAGTTATTTTTGGCCACTAGGCGCTTCACAGAGCCAAATGCAAGTCACTGAAACTGAAAGCAGGAGCTGGCTCTTCAAATGCTTGTGCTCTTAAGGCTCCGTCTGTCATTTAGGTGGAAAGGAGAGAACGTCGCAACCACAGAGGTCGCTGATATGCTTGGGAGGTTGGACTTCATACAGGAAGCAAACGTGTATGGTGTGCCTGTGCCAGGTATGTGGCTGGGGTCAACTTGGAGAGTTGTAGAAATGAATGCCCATGCATGGCCTCTTTAGGTTCTTATCTCTTTATAAATCAACGTTTGAAATTTTGCATATTAAAATTAACATTTAAAAATATTTTCATCTTGCCTTGACAAGCATTGCCCTTGCATATGCTAACAAACTTTATGGACACATAAAAGGTACAGATGGATTTTAATGTTTTAGTGTGTTTTAAAAATAGTTGAAGTGGATCTTTCCAGTCGTCTCCCTTTTCTGTTATGACACACGTTGGCTTATTCCACTCAATAGGAACATGTTCTAATTTAAATGTTTAATAATACCACGTGTGCCTGAACTCTGTCCGTTTATGCAAATAGCAGTGTTTCCTGCTAATGCTGTGGGGTAGAGGGAAGGCCAGGGATTGAAATGTCTACTTGGCAGGAGAGGAAGGAGACAGCAGACTGAGAAACTGTCCCTGAGGACTGGAGAAATGGGCCAGCCCTCTGAGGTCTGCATGGAGGGCGGTAAACAATGTGACCTTAACTTTCATTCATTTTAATTAATAAAAAGAAAATAGCCATTCCTACTTCTCTTAACTTCAAATATTCCCCGTGATTATTTTTTTCATTAGTGACTAAAATGCACATTTTGCTAGTCTATAGTTAGCTCTCCCTAAGTTTTCTGTCTTAGTATTTGTGTTGGTAGGATGAAAATTTTATATATAACTTATTGTCTTCCATCTGCTCTGTCTCGCTTTTGTAGGACAGACAATCAAAGACAAACTGTGCTCATCCCTACAGTTCAGTTACTTCTAGTGATTAAATCATATATGAGAGAAAGACACAGACTCAATTTATGCTACTGCCCCATTGTCATCTCTGCAATAGAATGTACAGTGAGCATCTCTGGAGCAGTCTGTTTGACAGGACTGATTTTGAAAACTCACCTAGTAATACTTGGATTTTATTTTGACCTTTCCCCAGGTTATGAAGGAAAAGCGGGAATGACTTCTGTTATTCTAAAACCAAACAAGTCTTTAGACTTAGAAAAAATGTACAACCAAGTGGTGACATCTCTACCAGCTTACGCCTGCCCACGGTTTTTAAGAATTCAGGTAATTTTACAGCCTCAAGATTTCTTGTTAAAGGTAGGAGCCAGAACCAAGAGGTGGGTCAGTAGCAAAATACTCTTCTCTCCCTTAGAGAATGTGCCCATTTATTTATATTAGATAGCTTTAAGAATAAAAATCAGAGAAATGTAGCATTGATGCTCTGACACAGTGTTTGAAGCTACATATGAAGGAAGCAAGATGAAGGGCTAGGGTTTTTGTCCTGACTGTGGAGTTGTTACTTTCTCTTCACACAGGACCTTAGAGCAAAGTGATGCTCTCAGTGAGGGTGGCAGGTCAAAACTGTTTCTTGCACATATATTCTGAAGATGGTTGGAGCTATTTGCCTAAAAGTGGGTTCCACTGGGTCAACATCAAAGTGTTTGTATGCAGATATCCCACGATTCTTTTACCTACCTTAACACAGGCACACCTGACACAATCGGGAGAGCACAACCCAAGTTTACTATCAACTTGCCCATATTATTTATGTACTCACATGTTATGTCCATTTCTTTCCTATACATCATCTTCTGTATAGCTTCCATATAACCTCTTTTTCTTTGTTAGTATATTAATATAGCATGATATATATTCCTAAATATATAAATAAAATATATGTATTAAATATAATATATATTCCTAAATATATAATTACAACCTCCTCAGCTGATATAATGTTATCCATGTACATATTATCTCAGAGCTGACCGTTTGGTGTTGGTTAACCAATTAGGGGACTCCTTCTTGGGAAAGCCTGTTTCATCCATTCCTCAGCATTCCTTAGTTTCCTATAGTTCTTAGTCTGGGGTTGGGACCCTATGAGATTTCCTCTGTCAATATAATCCCCATTCAGATCATGTTTAGGCAGCCATGTTGTTGAGACTTCATAAGTATAGCTTCCCTGACATTTCTAGGAGATATATTCTCATAACAGACAGACATCCTGTTCCTCTGGTTCATACAATTTTTTATTGATTGATGTTGGTTGTAGGTGCTACAGTAGAGAAAGAAGTTCACTAAGATGCTAAACCTTCATTTTCAGGGGTTCTGCCTCTTAGAAAAGACTGACAACCAGCTATCTCACTCCTGCTACTTTATTTAATCATTGCACAAGGCTAATTGGGACTGGGAAAGGTTCCAGCTACCAAAGTTATCTTGCCCTTGCTGCCCGTGAGAGCAGACAATGCATACAAATCTTGCTCCCTTTTGACCATGGCTATCTACAGTCAAACGTAAGAACTCTAGGTTTGCCAGAATGCCTTAGGACCAAGATTTGTACAGCTGCCCCTCTCACATAGCACCAAGTGAAGATTCTCTAGAGAGACAATATTTCTTCAAGGTTCAAACAGTCTCAGAAAAATTCCTCACCCTCTACTGAATGATCCAAACATAGCAAAAGCTTTGCTCAAACATTTCACTCCAAGCTAGATGCAAAGGCTTTACTATACATTTCACTTCCTGACACTAAGGCTTTACTGATACATATCACACTACAGCCTTGCTTCTTCCTCTTTTGAAAATGTTCTCTGAGCCTTAGGTGCAGGAGTTGTGTTGTAGACGCTGTTGTGACGCTGGGTACCACATGATTACTGCTTCGGCATTGTGATCAATTATAGCTGTGATGGTCTTCATCTCTTGCAAGAGATGTTTATTTGTTGAGAGGTAAAAGCTACACTTACCTATAGGTATAACTAGATGTTTAGAATGCAGGTGGGAATTACACTGGTTTTAAAAGGTGGCAATTGATATAAACTTTATAAGATTCAGGGCCTCATTAGCTCTGGGTAGTTGGATACACTTCTAGTACAAGGCATAGTTTTCCTCTTTTTGAGAAGTTTTTAAATCCAATTATTCAGCCTTTGGTTGCCATTGAAATGTTGAGTGTTCTTATTGCACTCTTGGGGTTACTGTGCAATGCTGCCCCTTGTTGTAGTTCATGGGCCCCTTACTAGTTGCTGGTGAGGAAACCCAAGAGTCCTAAAATCCTGTAGGCTCTTGTTGTTGCCCTTGGTTGCCTCTCAGAGGTTGTAGATAGGTCATTATTCCCTAAGAGACCATACACTGTGACGCAGGAGCCAGAGTATCTAAGCAGAAAGCCTCCTTCCTGAGGATTGCTTTTATGGTACCAGAAGGTGTCATGCAAGTTGCCAAGGGAGAGAAGGAGCCAATAGCTACACCATACCCATCTGCCTTGTCCTTTTGTAGCCAAGTCTACACTTTCCATCTTCCTTGCATTATCCCATGAGAAATATATCTTCATGGAATGGAATACAGATCTAAAAGGTAATATTTTAAAACTTTAATCTCAGTGTAACTTAAAATTCACTCTCAGAAGCAGAATACTTTGACATTAGTCAAAAGACTGAGTCAGCATTATACATATTTAGGAAATACTTTAATATCATTAATTTTCCAAACAGAGCATTGTCCATTACAGTTAACGGTTATTATTCATTTGGTACAATTAATGGAAAGCCTAACATTCTCATATCTCAAAATATTTATGTAGCAGGATTTATACTACACACCTTAATCCTACCATTCAAGGGGCAGAGACAGATGCAGGTGGATCTCTTTGACTTTGAGGCCAGCCTGGTCTACACAGTAAGTTCGAAGCTAGGAAGAGCTACACAGTAATACCGTACCTCAAAAAATTTTATAACAAATGAATTACAGCAATAAATAATCTGAGAAAATGCAGAACTAAAACTTCTGACCACTTGAATAAAACAACTGCTCTGTGTCATTTCTAACAAGGTAGTTTTGCTCATAACAATAATTTAAATGTGATTTATTTCAGTACTGCTGAAATAAATCCAACCCTATCCTTTTGTTCTGCTCTAGAGACACAAATTAGCAGAGCCTCCTGAGAAAACTTGTATCATAAATTTTGTCTTTTGTAACTTTAGCTCCTATTACAGTATCATATAGTCATAATATTGTTTTGGCATTGCCATGAGCTAGCATATGTATTTCAAACATGCTTAATTTGTTGGTCACATTAATAATTATTATTTATGCAATAAGATAACATTTTAATAAAGCTTACAGATAAATAAATGTTCTATATTTCTAAAGTCAAATTAATGCTAAATATAAACATTTTAATTAGATATGAAATATGATAAGGAGATATGGCCTATTTTTTCAACATTTTGCTCAGACATAGTAGCTACAATGAATACTAATAACCTGCTCCGGTCATATCTGTAATTATTTCCTAGGACAAAATGGAAACAACAGGGACATTCAAGCTAAAGAAGCTACAACTGATGGAAGAAGGATTTAATCCGCTGAAGATTTCTGACCCACTTTACTTTATGGATAATTTGAAAAAATCTTATGTTCCATTGACCAAAGAGATTTATAATCAGATAATGTCAGAGGAGCTTAAACTTTAAGACTGTATTTATGGGACTTTGATGGCTTCCTGGGAAAGGTGATGGAAGATTCATGAGCTTCTTTGCGGACAAACATGGAGGAGTTCTTTTCATAAATTGAAAAAAATCTTACATGAAGCATGCGTTTTGTATACCCAAGCATCCAAGGGCCACCCTTCTCAGCACAGTGAGCCATGAAGTAGGAGCTGTTTGCCTCATGGTCGCGAATGCATTTGGGAAGTAAAATCAAACAGGCCATAGTATGACCACCTGACTCTGTCGGGAATGTGATGATTTACTCTGAGGCGGAGATGGGGAAGTAGTGTTCAGCACATGCTCTGTTTCCTTCACAAGCAGAATTCCCTTGAGTGTACTAAGGCTTAAATTTTATTCGGTTGATATAAACTTCAGCTGATATTTTATTAATTTTAAGATTCAGTCAGTAACAAAATACTTGCTTTAATACTGAAGATTTTAAATAATACATAAGTAATTAACAGTTGAATCATTTAAAATACTTTCTATTATGTAAAGATCCTAGTTTCCAGAGAATAGTAAAATTTTTACTGAGTTTATTTTTATGTGATTTATCTTGTAACTCAATAAAAGCATCTTTATTAACCTGTGATTTGAGTGTCTTACATTTATTATTATTTATTTTATGTGTGTGGCTGTTTTACCTGCATGTATGTCTGTGTACAGTGTCTGTGCCTGCTGCCCACAAAGCCCAGAAGAGGGCATCAGGTTCCTCAGAACAGCAGTTATATACTTGTGAGCTGCCAACAGTGGTTGCTAGGGTTCCTCAGGTCCTCTGGAAGAGTAGCCAGTGCTCATATCCACTGAACCATCTCTCCAGCCCAGTAATCTTTGTTATACTGTTTTAAAGTAAATTCCAATCAAAGGAACCTTATTGAAAATATATGTATTAATATTTCTTTCCTCTCAAAAATACATTAAAGAGACAAACAAATATCAAACTATAAAGGGCCAGAGCAGGGAACTGGGTGCTCCCACATCCTTAGCATTGTTGGGGAGCCATGGAAATGGGACAAGAGTAGCAATAAATTCCACAGAGCCGCAGGAACCAATAATGATACCCAACAGCTGGACTAGAGCAGAGCTCTGGAGTTACTACCACGATCAAAGAAAGAAAGGGCTGCCAGTCTGAATAGAAATGTGAGGAGTTACCTGAAACACAGGGCACAAGGACAGTACAGAGAGCAGTGTGCCAGAAGCTGGGGCATTGGGACTCTGTTGCCTTTAATCTAGAACCACAAAACATCCCTTCCATAAGGTGAAGTATCATCTGTAGGAAAGCCGCATGGATTGGTTGTAGTTTGAGTGTGGTGTGTCTTCTTCCTCCAAGATGCCTGTGCTGGTCATTTGGTTTCCAGGATACAATGTTCAGGTGTTAGAATGTTTCAGAGGCAGAGCCTTAGTAGAAAAGACTTCAGTCATTGGGGTATCCTTTCTTGGATGAAGAATGTATAGCTCCTTTTAGACTCCAGTTCATTCTAGGGAGAATAAATGGCTGTGCTTAGCATCTTTTGAACATTCCTCTTTCTATGGTTTCCAGTATCTCATAGAATGACACAGCCTACAGGGTCATTACTAGAAGCCAAATTGATATGACCACCTGATCTATAACTTTCAGCCTCCAAAACTGTCAGCTAAATAAATATCTTTTCTGTGTAATTTCCCAATTTTAGGTATTTTGTTATCACACAAGAAAACCCATTACTTTGGAAGGCTCTATAGAGCAAGATTAAGAAGCAGAATAGAGTGCAACTAGACAACCATGGAACTATAAACCTAGCTCTCCAAGAGAGAGCTTGCCTATTTATGTTATCTAAGAAAACCTGTATACCAATACATAAAGGGAATGAATTGTTTTCCTTTAGTAAAAAGTTTCAGTGACTGCATAAACCTCTACTAATGTTCACAACCATTACTGACCTTATGGTTAAGGTTTTGCTTAGGATATTTGCTTTGCAGATTGTAGTTATCCTTTTAAGTATTGGAAATATGTTAGCATGTTTCTACTAATTACTAACTCCATAAAAGCCAGGGAGACTGAATTGTGACAATAAATAACGCGTTCAGGTAGCACCCTGCACCACTGTTCAGTTCTTTTGCCAAATTCATAGATGTGAGGCACAGGTGTTCAGAAGAGAACAATCCATTCTAGAAACGGAGGGAGGGATAGGAAGCATCCCAGGTAGAGAGAGCTTTGTGGGAAGCTGCTCAGAAGCACAGCAGATGAGATCACATGATGAAAGAACGTGTAGGAGAAAGGGGAGATGGCTCCACACAGCCTAAATGCTTTAAAGGCAAAAGAAGCCAACGCTACAGTAAACATATACAAAACACAAGATGGCGCAGAGTATGATCAGGACAATGGGTTACAGAAAGTTGCATCAGCTGCACCTGCATTGACTTTGTTTGTGGAGAACTTTCCTGAGCACACAATCTCACTCCTGACTGAGGAAAGCAGCAAGAACCAACACATCACTCGGATGGACAAGTTTACTCAGGAAAAAAACAAACCCTAAAGAGGGTTCACTTTTTAAAACAAAACCAAAAAACAACTTTTTATTGATTCTTTGTGAATTTCACATGTACTTCAATTCTGCACAGCCTTCAGACATTAACATGTCCCTAGGAGGCAACCTAGACCAGGGGGATCCACCTGGCTTTTGAGAAGCAGCCTTCAGGGTCAGGGAAAAGATGTGGGCCCCAGTGGCAGCACAGATCAGAACCTACTACGGTCCCAGGTGGCATCACTGGCTACCCACATCAGGCTGCTCCTTGCCTCAGTTCTACCTTTCTTCATTGTACCCACAACCTTCTGTTTCTCCACCACTTACTCGCTCCTTATAGTGGTCCCTGGGGTCTCTGAGTGGGGTCGTCTCAGGAGTGGTCTCAGGAGCGCTATATCCCACTCATGTAATATAGCAACAAACAGAGGTCATCTCTGGCATTGTTTGGTGCACCCCCCTCAAGGCCTGCAAGATGATGGTCATCTCAAGCAGGCTTGTATCAGGGATTTAGGCTACTAATCATCCAGATGATCACATTTCAGAACACTGAGTGTAAACACAGCCTCACTCCTCTCTGCCACCTACTGGTGAAAATGTGGCATAGCAGTCACACCTGCAACACCTCTAGGAGCAAGGAGGATTAACATTTTTAAAGTGCTAGGCACTCCAAGAAAATAAACAGAACCATCTTTATAGTATATGAATGAATAATTGCATTAAAATTAATCACAGCTATACGTCACAAATACAAAGTTTCCCAAAAATGTTTCAGAAGATTTCCAATATGAATACAAATACAAATCTAAATATATTTATAGAGAGATGGACAGATGTTTATAAGAGAGGACAGAGGTGGAGGAGGAGAGGAATCTAGTTTAGTATCTAGTGATTTCAAACCACTAAAATTTGATAGCTAGAGTATTAGTTACCAAATTACTGAATTCTGGACAACAAGAAAAATATCTCAAAATTTAAGTATATTGTCCACATGAAATAATATTAGCCAAAGTTTGTCTGATTTATCAAAATTAAGAAGCACAAATGAAGGTGGAAAAATACTATATTTTAAACACTCAATGCCAATGCTTCTTAACCTGTGGGTAGTGACCTCTTTGGGGGGGGGTTCAAATAACTCTTTAACAGGGGTCCCATAAGCCATCCTGAATATCAGAATTATGATTCATAACAGCAACACAATTACAGTTATGAAGTAGCAGCAATAATTTTATGGTCAGGTTCACCATAGTATGTGGAACTGTATTAAAGGGTCACAGCATTAGGAAGGTTGAGAACCACTGACCTAAGAGTCAAGCGAGAACTCTATGCCCAGTGAAACTGTTTTCTAGGAATGAAGGTGAAGAGCTGTGGTCTCAGTTATAGCACCTTAAAAACAGCCAGGATGCTTTATCCCTAGCTCTAGTATTTAGGAAATGCTAAAGCAGGCTCTTTTAAGACCAAAGTAAAATCTTGCTAAAAGGAAATTCCTATCTTCAGGAAGGAAGAAATGAAAGTACCCCAAGAGTGACCCCAAGAGGTCACTACCCACAGGTTAAGAAGCATTGGCATTGAGTGTTTAAAATATAGTATTCTATTTGGATAGAATTAAAAGAATTTTTCATTTCTTCTTTCAGTGCAAGGAAGTTGGTTTAATGGTATTAGGCCTTTGAAGGGTAAGTTAGAACCCTAGCCTCTTCCGCTCTCTGACTTCCAGCTGCCATGGAGTAAGAACCTTTACTCCAGGGCACACTCCCAGCCTGGGATTCTGCCTAGCAACTGGCCCTAAAGAAAGAGTCAGTTGACCATGGTTCTAATAAACTAAAACCTTGGGAACAAGAAGCTCAAATAAACCTTTCCTTTTTTCAGTTGACTTGTCTCAAGTATTTTGTTATAGCAGTGAAAGCTGACTGGGAGAAGTGCCCATTGATGTACAGTTAAATAATACAAAGAGTGTATCATCTATTTTCTAAAATACTTTGACAAATGCAAACATTTGGAAGAAAAATTTTAAAGAATTTCAGTTAAGTGAAAGCAAGTATAATATTAGATGTGAATGGATAACATTTTATTTTATAAACTTTATTATTTAAAAAAGCCTTGCAAATAAATAAAAATATCACACAGCAAAATTAACCAGACCCAAAGTCTATACATCTTGAACTTCTATACAGTTAGGATAGGAATTAAGGAAGAAGCTGTATTGCTTTGCATTAAATTGACCTTATACTGTCAGTGATGAATACACACACACACACACAGGCACACACACACGCACATGCGCGCGCGCACACACACACATATAATTTCATTTGAGAAGTAAATTTTACTCTCATACTTTAAGTCTTTTTTAAATTGTCATTAATTTTTTTCAATATATTATACTTACCCAAAAATTCATCAGATTTTGACTTTTTCAAGAATGAGGAGCACTGAAGAGAACAGCTTCAAAAGTTTGATATTTTAAATAAATATTAAGTACTAGCCTTAACTTCTTGAGGAAAGTGAACCTGCTTGCTTAATTCAGTCTACACTTCCACATTGCTGTTCACTACCAAAGGAAGTTAGGACTGGAACTCAAGCAGGTCAAGAAGAAGGAGTGAATGCAGAAGCCATGGAGGGATATTATTTACTGGCTTGCTTCCCCTGGTTTGCTCAGTTTGCTTTCTAATAGAATCCAAGACTACTAGCCCAGGGATGGCACCACCCACAATGGGCCCTCCCACACTTAATCACTAATTAAGAAAATGCCTTACAGCCACTCATCAATCCCCACTGTAGTGGCTGGTTTTGTGTGTCACCTTACACAGCTGAAGTCATCACAGAGAATGGAGCCCCCCCGCCCCCTTGGGGAACTGCCTCCATTAGATCCAGCTGTAAGGCTGTGTGGTTAGTTTTGTGGTGTGACTTTGGAGTTCCTTGGCTCCCGACTACCAGGATAGTTCCCTTCGTAGTTGTATCACATCTACTGGAGAAGCCTTTTCCATCTGAGCTGTAACGGTTACCACATCTCTTAAAACACCCAAGGTTGTCTTCAGGCCATGCGTATACATACACACCCTTGATGAATACACACACACACACACATGCATACACACACACACACACACACGCACACACACACATTCACACATACATACCCATACACACACCCACACATAACACATACACACGCACATACACACAAACACACACATTTTCTTTGCAAGCTTGTCATGAGTGTGACTATTTCACTAGTGAGGGGTTTTAGTACCATGCCTGCAGCCTCCATACTAAGTAGTCCTGGCAAACATCATTACTGACAGATTAAAGAGCAACATTAAAATGCAGTACTAAAACTGTCTGTGGAGTTTATGTTATGAACTTGCAATGCCTTCCGTCCTCAGAACACTGGCTGCTTGGTTTAAAGTAACTGCCACCTCCCTCTGTAAACTATGGGACTCTAACACTTTTATAGGTCAGACACAGCTTTGCACTTGCTATCAACACCCGTGACATACTTTATCCATGTGGTGAAAAGGGCCTAAGTCTTAAAAGACTTAGGTAACACAACTGACCATGTGAACAGCAAAGGGTCTTCCCTCTCTGCAGAATAATTGTAGTTTCAACAATAACTTAATTCTTGATATGCTTAAGGCTCTGCCTTCAACAAATAGCAGATGTTTCTCCAACTTAGAGTGTGTAACAAGAATTTTTACAACTTTTAAAATGTGTGTTTCTGAGTTTGACTAAATTTGTTGAATCCAGAATTGTAAATATTAATTTGTGAAAATTCTTTTAGAATTCTAAATTGTGGTTAGTATTGTATCCTGTTTCTTTACTTTGAACTACATTTTCACCTGCCTCTCAAACTTTCTGGCTTGTCTCAAAGAAGAACCAGGCCTACAGCTTATCTCTTGAAAGACATGAGACACCCATTCAGGCTGCTATGCTATCTAGATGAAATCTGGGGTATTCTCTTGTAATTTATCTGTCTGTGAGAATAGGTTGGGCCTACAATTTGGGGATCCCATTGGAATGTCAGAGAACAAAGCATTGGTAAAGTGTGGATAACAGCACCATTAGCAGCAGATGATAAAATCAGCTAGAAGAAAGTTTTGAGAACTCAAAGACAGATGATTTAAAGACACTCAAAGGACCAATGAGCGAAGCTACCTTCAAGGATACTGCAAAGCCAACCATCTGTGTTACTGGCATTCTGTAAGAAGGAAAAAGGGGATACCACTGTTAAATAAATGGCATCTGAAAACTAGCCAAACCCAGAGAAAAATATCAGCATCTATAGCCAGAAAGCCCTAAGGACATAAAAAGGATGCCCTAATCATGTGATCATTAAATTGTCAAAGGTTCGACAATTTTGGAAGAATCATCATCGGTAAAATGACTTACTAGGTACATGGAAACCTACGTAAGACTATAAGCAGACTTAGGGTTTTGTTTGTTTGTTTGTTTGTTTGTTTTAGCAGAAAGTGTGCAGGCCTTTTGGGATGATACATTGAAAAGTCTGAAAGAAAAGTGCCCATCAAGAACACCCCACTTGGCAGACATGTTCTTCTGAAATGAAAGTGGGATACTATTTTTAGTCAAACAGTATCTAAGGAACTCCATCACTGTTGGACCTTCCTTCTAGGAGAATTCCATCCAGTTAAAAAGAAGAAGTGCTATGGAGTTAGGCAGTGCCTCAAGAATATCCAAAAGCACAAGATTCAGTGGTAAAGATAACTCTCTAGCCAACATGATAAAATGGAAATAGGCAAGTTACCTTCACTTCTAGTATATACTTTTAAAAAACACAAGTATTAAAAATGGTTTTTATTAAGCTGTATTAATGGAGCTCCAATTTAAGTAGGTTTACACCATAACATTGAAAGCATCTCATGTGGAAGAGAAGTGAAAAATATATATACAGGGTCTCCAAATCCATGAAGTTAAAGCAGGTGCTACAATTACAACCTACTTTTCATAGGCCATGCTACCTACAGAGATAAGATCTGTAGATGTTACACAAAATAAAAAAGAGCTAGGCATCAAAGCCCATCAGCACAAAAGTCAATGAAGTACAGAGAGCCAGTCAGAGAATAGGAAAGTGGACTCTAACACTAGTGCGAAGAAATGTAAAAGAGCAATAACGCATATTACTTATCAATAATCCAAATATAGATGTGTTAAACTCCCCCAGTGAAGCATGCAGATGTATAAAGATTCAAGATCCAATTGTACATCAGTCATCAACATTGAACTCTTTATATTCAAATACACGTATAGGCTGGAAGTTAAGAAACAGAAAAAGAGATGCTATGCAAAACACGAAAGAGGGCAGGGGTGCTATGCTTCCCTAAGGCAAAACAGACCCACGTTACAAACTGCTGCTAGAGAGACAAAGTGAATAAGCAGTACTAAACAACCATATTAACAGAAAGATATAGCCATTATAAACATGTATTATCTGACAGGAGACCATTCAAGTCAATGAATACTGACAAGTTTAAAAGAAGAAATTGGTAGCCATAGAATAGTAGAGACTTCAATACTCCACTGTCAACAAAGTATAGAATATCCAGTCCTGAGTGGCCTGGTGCTCATTATGTGGCCCAGGTTGACCTTAAACTCCTGGCAATTACATAGCCTCAGTTTCCAAGGT